CATGTCTGCGACATCACGACAGCTGATTCTCGCTCGTCCCCCGGTTCGTAATCCCTCGTTTCTCTGCTGGTTATTGTTCGGCTCTCGCGCTCTCATCCATTTCTACGCCGTTTTCGTTATCGCCCCGCTCAATTTCGTATTCGTATTCTCCTTTTATGATCTTATTATCTGCTTGACAGCGTGCATTTCATACGGTCTCAATTTCTTTTAATCCCTTCTTTTCACTTTTTCGGTACTTATACGCACTGTATGCTTGCTTCTCGCTAGCTAATACAAATTGATTGATCTGCCCAAACGACCACAAGTAAGAAAAAGCGCAGAAAAGCGCAAAGCAGCATGCAAAACAGCAGAAGGACCTACTGTTTTGCTCTTTTTTTTACTGTCCTTATTTCGTGCTTGAATAACGCTGAAAAAGCGATAAGCACTAAAAAGTACTTGATAAGGAGCCCGCTGTTTTCCTGATGCGTCCGCTATGTCGAGGTTGTCGAGTGTATCTACCTGCAACATGTGTGAAGGCCCCACTAATATCTGCACAGCACCCTCTCTTGAGCTCAACAACATCAGCAACCACGATGACCTCATGCACATTCTGTATGGCTGGTCCAGAGTCGAGCTCAGCATTCAGTTCAGTGACGGATTTTACGATGTTTTCGTCGAGAGAGCGTTGCAAGATGATTCAGTCACCACGTTTGGCGGGGAGCTCAAATACCTCATGATCGTCCCGTGTCTTGCTTCACCGAACATGTTGCGTAGACTTCTGGAGAAGGAGGATGTTTACCTGACGGATCTGAGTGTCGGGCCACTGACGCATCCGATGAATTCAGACGAAGAGGAGGTGATGAAAGAGGTGGCTGAGTCGTTTATGTGGTGTTGACACGTTGGCCACAAATCGTCTGTCCATGTGTTCGACTTAACATCGACAGTCTATGACAAAACCATTCCTGTAACATGTGAAACAAGCGCCTTTATTACGTTCACTATCGATTGTATGCCCGATACTCAAAACTGTATCACTAAGGTGAACGTTCTCGTAGTCACGTAGTTAGAAACCTTCCGACCACTAGGAAATAACTATCCGTGTCCTCAAAGAATGGAATGTGGCTTCCTAAGAAACGTACCCACTTCGCCCCAGCAATCTTCTGGAAGAAAGGCTCTACGACAGAGTCTTGCGCACCGTCGTCCCTTCCGTTGGTGATGAGTGTCTCGCATTTGATGCTATGCAACCGATCAATGCAGGACCAGCCCTTCATCGTCCCCAAAACTTCAATCTCAGAGCCAAACCTAAGGTTCCGTGAGCGTTATGGAGAAACGAGCAGGGACAAAACATTTACATGTTGTTGTACACTGTGAGATCCTCGTACATCGCCGCGAACGAGTCCGTCAGCTGCTGAGGGGTTGGCTGGACCTGACACACGTGCTTCGCCGAGAACTCGTCCATCGCCTTCTTGTACTCCTCCGCGTCCGTCGTACCCTCCCGTTCGTGTCTGAGCACCATCTCGCCGAACTCGGGTGGCCACGCGCTCAAATGCCTGTGCATTGCCTCTTCCCAAAGCGCTGTGGACGGAAGGCCGCTCGAGAGGATGAGCTTTCGCAGACCTGAAGGCTGACGGAGCGATGCGTAGTCTGCCGCGAGCATGACGCCCCACGAGTGGCCAAGGAGATCAAACCTCCCGGAGACGCCGAGCTTCTTGAGGAGGTTGTCGAGTTCGTCCATGAACGGGTCCATGGTCCAGAACTCGCGCGGCTTTGTGGGGAGATGGGTCGATTTACCGATTCCAATCTGGTCGTAGAAGATGACAGGAATGCCGTACGATCGGGTGAGTTCGATGTGCGGGAGCATGTAGACGTGATCCATGCCAGGACCGCCATGGAGGATGACGAGGGGCGTGGTATCGGGCGTCAGCTCGCCGACTATCCTGTACCATGTCTGGCACGCCTCTCCTGTCTGTGGGAGAACGAAGTCAACCAGGCCAGTCGTCTCTTTCATGAGTGCTCGATCTTGGCTGATAGTGCGAGGGGGCGTGGAGAAAGATTGCGGGGTGTACAGCGCCGATTTATAGCGTGCAAACGAGAGCTATTTTCTAGTGTCGTGTGGCAGGACAAGGTTCAGCACTAAACTTCTTTCCTCATAGCTCACTGTGCCCGAAGGAGTTACGAACCCTCACTATCCACGACCGGTAGTTGTCCCCAAAATTTCCCCATCACCCTATGATCACGCCTGCCGCCCTTCTGAGTACGCTCGCCCATGAACACTCTCCAGGCCCTTGTTAAGTACGCGGTTGTCCACCGCACCCACGTACAGCACACGAGGTAGGGCTTTGTCGACAGAAATGAACTCACTCCTAAGATAAAGGATCCACACGGCCAGTGGTATCCCTAACACCGATGTTCTTCCCGCGGACGATGAGACATGCAAGAGGCGGGGAAGCGATATTCTGACGGGAAGACCGAAACATAGCATGGTATCACGACGCCAACAGTGAATGTGGCCGTGACGAAGTTGACGAAGGACGGCAAAACGTGAGGGTTCCAGCTTCCCGCTCACGGTGCCCGTCACGGAAGCAGCCGTCAAGAGTTCGGATCTATTCTTTTGAACTCCATTAACAACGGGCCCTTGGCACAGTTGGTAGCGCGTACGCTTCGCACTAAGAGAATGCGTAAGGTCGTGGGTTCAACTCCCACAGTGTCCAATTTTTCTTGCTTTGCCCGACAAACCTTTGCTACTGCCAGCGTCGTTTTATTGGCCCGCGCGGACGACCATTCAACCAAAGAAAACATTCATGCATGCGACCGAGAAAGAAATCCAGATACATATGCCTGCTATACTACACAAATCTCTTGTATGCATGCTTTTCGTACTCCTTTGTCTTCCGTCTGTTGGGCGCGGATCTGTTATATCTCATTAGAACATGTTGAACCCATTAGAATACCGTAGCACTTACGTGGCAAGAGCATGGGGTTCAACGAGCGCACGTTGCTGTAGGCTGTCAAACCGATCACGGAACAGGTTACCTTCAGGCTAATACCAAGATCAGATTCGTACTCCACAATATTTCACAATTCCTCTCACCTTGAGCGCGCGGAAACTTTCGCTCAGATCCTCCCCTAATTGAACATCAACTCTGCTGTTAGGGACCTTGTGTTTCCCGATCTTCTGGCCAGCCAAACCCTGCTTTAGCTTAGCATTTTGTGCGAATAGCCGGGCCAGCCTCGCTTGCTCGCGAGTCTCCGCAGAACGGTCTGCTTCTTTTCTGAATGACCGCGCTTGGCTGACGCTGCCGAGGAGGCGCTTCCGTAAAGCACGTTCGGCGAGAGCATGTTTCTAAGGACGAAGATCAGGTGATAGCACGCGAACAACATGAGGGCAGCACTCACCTCCGCTTTCAGCCGCGCAGCCTTCGCCCGCTGTTGTTTTGTTTTCCGGGATGGGGCACGCTGAGCCAACACGTCCGCGTCCTCCACCTCCTCGCTGCCGTCGTCTGCAATCTCGTCCAAAACCATACCCTCCGGGATTCCGTCCTCTCCAGCCAAGACATCCAGTGCCTTCCGAGCACCGATGATCTGCTCCTTGACGCCTGCAAACTTTTGCGCCTCAACCTCTTTCTGCCGTTCAGACTCGTATGCCTTGAGAATAAGCTCCTCGTGAGCGGCAACAGGGGGGTTATACGAGGCACCCTGATGAGGTTTAGCTACAGCGGGTGCCTCGATGAGCTCCCGTGGATGGCGGTTGTCCGGCCGCTTCTAGGTCCAATCATATTAACGAACGATGTTATACGGATGGAAGAGTCACGCGCACCTTGATTTGAGGCCTTTTCAGTGTCTCGTCTTCCTCGTCTTCGTCCACATCCTCCTCCATGGCCCATGCATCGTAACTCCCACTCGCCTTGACAGCGTGCGTGACATCCACCATCGCGCTCCCCGCGCCGAGCTCCGTGGGGTCCATCACGGCGTTGAACGGACCACGGGCCATCCGTCGTGTCATTCGTAAGAGACGAGTCTTGTCAGTTCCGCTGATCTTTGGTTTCGATTGGGTCGAGGATGCGGATGAGGTGGTGCGGGTGTGCACGGCGGGCACGGCGGAGCGCTGAGCGATGATTTTTGTGGATGTGAGGTCCGCTTTTGAGAAACGAGGGAGAGATCTGCGCGCTGAATAGACCATCAATCATGGGGAGTCTCTATGAAGGGTGGATGTGAGACGCACTTTTATCGTCGCCTTTAACGTCGATTGTGAAAAGCTGGTCATCCGACTGGTGCTGCAGTGTTGTCCTAACGCGTTCCTATTAGCTATGGCAGAAAAGAGGGGAGCTCAAAAGCGCACCCGATAATCCTCTCCTCTTTTCTTAGGCTCTCCATACCCCGCTCAATAGGTTGTATGTCGATGTTCTTCCTCCATGCCCGCTTACCCTTTCTGCTCGATTGACTCAATTGAGCTGGTGCGCCGACGTCGGCCTTGGCATCTGTTTTTCCGGCCATCGTATCAGAGTTAGATCCACTCTTTTTGGATCTGGTGACTGCCATCGTCGCTGCCGGCAAGAGAAGGAGGAAGCAGAGGGTCGCCGAGATGAGAGGGACAAAATAAAGAGGCGGGAGTGCTGGCTCAATCAAAGTTGTGACACGTGACGACCGCCTTGCATAGTATACCCGGTTTCCGCGTCTGGCAGGACCATCATCTGCTGCAGTCTGCTTGTCGATCGAACGTGTCTGCACAGGTCAGTACTGGCTCTCAACCGTCTCTCTGAGGACAATTCAAGGGACAAGGTATCATCAAGTCCTGATCTTCCTTCCGTTTCGCCTGGGTAATTGGTTGGCTATGTTTAATTTCGTTAGACCCGTCCAGAAGAGAAACGTCGACAGCTTAGTGAAATCCGATGGCGGTCGTGCACTGCAATCAGCGTGTCAAGCCTGTGTGGTCTACAAAGTCGAAGATAGGAAACAGGACGCGTGACCTACGCCCACAGGATGACTTTTCCGAAACTTGCTCACCATTCAAGCACATATTCACGGATCTTTTGGACAGTGCTTCCAGCCACTGCGTACTTAGCGGAGCTACCACAGCATTTGGCCAATAGGTATGTACGCTTCTCTTCGTCGACGACCACTACATCCCACTTATCTCATGTACACCCTCAGATTTCGACCATTCGGCCATCTCTTCTCTATTGTCACTCTTGCATATTCACCTAATGGGCAGCTCATCGCTACCGGTACAGTGGACAAGAAGATACGAATATGGGAAGCGTTGACTGTGGGTCAAGTTGGGGATGCTCTCGAGGGCCATGCTGGGTACATTCAAGCCCTAGCATTCTCTCCAGATGGGCGTCGCCTCGTCAGCGGAGCACTTGATGATGGTCTCCGAGTATGGGACGTAGACACTCACGAGATTATCGCAGGCCCCTTCGAAGATGACGCCCACACATGGATTCGATCTGTCATGTACTCCCCTGACGGAGAGCTTATCGCCAGCGGAGGCAATGATGGGCTTCTCTGTCTCTGGAATGCTTACACACACGAGCGAGTTGCCATGATACAGCATTCTGGACCTGTTACGTCCCTCTCGTTCTCCCCTAATGGAGAACGCATCGCCTCTGTGTCCCTACCTGTGCATGATGATGAGCCTGCTTTGCGAGTCCACGCAGTTCGCAGAGACAAACTGCCACTGTCCCAACCAGAGCTCACCTTCAGTATACCTGACGCAAGTCGGGTCGCCCGATACTCTCCGGATGGTCTCCTGATAGCGGGTATCTCGGCGGGGAGCGAGAATTACGAGATCTGCCTCTGGTACTCTGCAACGGGAACACTTGCAACAAAGATTACTGATGCACACACGGGCTTAATCACTGATCTTTCATTCTCCCCTGACGGTCGACACCTTGTGAGCAGTTCTATGGATAACAAAGTCCGACTATGGGACGTCGCTACAGACACCCATAGCCATCGAGAGCGGCACTCTTGTTCAACGGAACAACGCAGCGCGACTGTCTCTGAGCCAACGATATCACTTTCACTTCACTCTTCAGCTTCAGCGTTCGGACATGACTCTTCTGTCACCAAATTATCTTGCTCTCCCGACGGACTTCACTTTGCTTCCTGCGACAGTTATAAAATACGCATTTGGAACATGCTGACCGGTGCACTGGTCCTTCCCCAGGTGAGCCGAGTTATCTAAAACCATCGTCGTGATGTTCGCTAACTGTATGACGCGCGTTAGCCATCCAATGAAAGCCGGTCTGACAGAGATCTGTCCCAGGTTGATGTACGTACCCTGCCTGCTCTTGGCTTACCACACGTTCAACTTCAGCTCTCAAATTAGGAATCTCAGCCGGTTGACGAGTCCAAGTTGAACGTCACTGGATCTCTCTACCGCACTTCAGAAGGTGATCTCCGGCACTTTGCCCATGGTTCTTCCTCTCGACTTTTTGGCCACTTCTCCACTATTGTCACGCTCGCATATTCTCCTGACGGGTCGCTCATAACCACTGGCTCTGCAGACAGTGTGATCCGTATATGGGACTCCAGGACAGGTCATCAATCTGGCGATGCACTAATAGGCCATACAAGCTGGATTCAAGTAGTTGCGTACTCTCCAGACGGCGGACGTCTCGTCAGCGGCGCACATAACGATAGGCTTCGTGTATGGGACACCAAAACTTACGGGATGGTCACGATACTCTCTGATGAGCAAAGTGTCTGGGTCCGTGCGGTTCAGTACTCGCCTGATGGCAAGATTATCGCGAGTGGATACCACGATGGCTGCCTCAACTTCTGGAACGCGCGCACCCATGAACGTGTCGCCTCCATCCATTGCCTTGGCACCGTCGCGTCTCTGTCTTTCTCCCCCAGCGGTAATCATATCGCAGTCTCAGCGTCTAGCCAGATTCATGTTGTAGACGTGGACTCACGTGAGACCAAATTCGTGTTTCATCCAATCGTTGGTAGGCAACACCTCGTCCGCGGTGTCCAATACTCTCCAGATGGGCGTTCGATTGCCAGCGTCTCGGATAAGGACGCCGTCTGCTTCTGGGATGCCGTTACTGGCGAGCTAACAGCGGGGCCTCTGAGAGGTCGTGTAGATGAACTTGTCACCAGCATTTCTTTCTCTATGGATGGCCGATACTTTGTAAGCGGGTCTGCCGGAAGCAACATAGAGATATGGGATGCAACTACGGGCAACTGTGTCCTGAGATCCCCGCACCGACATGATTCTACAGTCACTATGGTTGCCTGTTCGCCAGACGGAAAACATGTCGCATCCTGCGACGGCCACTCGCTACATATCAGCGAACTGTCCACGGGCAAGTTAGTTTTACCTCGAGTCAGTGTTTTCACTATGATTCAGCCTTATGAGTGCACTGATATTCAGTGGGTCTAGTCTCCCAAGAGGGAAGGGCCACGAGACGCGGGTCAAGAGGGCCGCGCCCAGCATGATGTAAACGTGCTCTTTGGACAGTTTTATCTGGCTGACACACGGATCTCAAGGGTCATGACAGCGATTTAGATGACGTGCGTCTGAAGCTTCTGAGAGCATAGCTTGTCGCTCATTTATTCGCCTCATCTAGTTCCCCGTCACCCTTTCAAAAGCCAAACATGGTCAGGCAGCTGGCAATATAGACAACATGGCCCTTGACGGGAACGCGGATGAGGGAGTGAGCCGGTTCCCTTCACTTTTCGTGTCAATTTTCATAGACCGGGCTTCACGAATCTTTCTTTGCAGCGTCAAGGTGCAAAGTTTACAAGACTCCGACAAACTGCTCGGATGGGTTTGAAAAAGACTGCTTCCATGTTCAGACAGCTCAGAGTATGCTCATTCTCCTGGTATCCTGGATTGAATATAATTAACCAGCAGTCCTTCAGCGACGAGTTCGTGTGAAGCAGATGCCAGATGAACAAAGACATACGCCAGCTTCCAACGATGATGCTTGCCCTCCGACGAAGGTACCAGATGAACAGTCACATACAGTGAACGTCAATCATGATCGAGGCGATGAAAAGCGTTACTGGCGCAACTTCTGGCGTCGCAGCTGGCGTCGGACGGAGAACATCTCTCCCGCATACGGTAACCAGGTATGATTGCTTTAGCATACTTCTCTTCCTGTGTCAATCATGGTGTATCTAACATGCATATTCATTAGCGCATATGGGCCAGGAAAGACGTGCCAGGTCGGCGCCCGGGTGGAGACACCCAGCCCTTAGAGGACGATGTCTCCGACTCTGATTCAGCCTCGTCGGACGAAAGCTCGCTTGCGATGGTCGATAGAATCTGCTTTTGCTTGTGCGTTGCGCACGCATAAAACCACAGCTGATATCAGCAAAATGCGTTGTGCATGATTTGACGGGGCATGGTTTGTGTGATTGAAGGTCTCTTAATAGCCGTCGGGCTCCCAAGGGTGTTGTCCAGTAGCCGTGTTTCCATTTGTAAACAACCAATATGTACCAAGTACTATAAATGAACGAGATAAGATCCCAATATAAACATTATGCGCTGGATCCTGCCAGGGCGACATATATGATACATCCCCTCCAACGACAGAGAGGTGAGAGGCGTTGGCCGACATAAACGGGCAATCCTCTTGACTCCTACGAGAGCTGGCCTTCAGATACGAGTCGGTGCGAAGGTAGCGCAGCTGGTGCAGAGCCTCAACACCCAGGACCATGATCTATACATGGACTCCGCTAGTCCGTTTGAATTGCTCAGGTGACGGCGCCCGAGAGCCGTCACTGGCAGGTGCGTCATGCACATCTAACTTACCCTCGTCCAAACGAACGTTCGTCATAGTGTACGCAGGCGTCGCCGCAAACTCAGTCTTGTCGGTGTCAAGTCGTCAACACACGTCAAGGGGAAGCAGAAAACGCATGCGCACCTCGGTTTCCAAGTTGACTTGGCCGCTCGTTGCCCTTCGACTCCGAGAAACTTCGCGTGATAAAAGCGTAGCAAGCAGCGTCTACACTCCCCAAGTCAATATTGCAAGTAGAAGGAAAGTATGAGGTGTAGAAGACGCACGTTCGTGTATATCCGCCCAATAGGCATCGCAAACATTCCATAGAGATTCATGGTGGGCGCGGCGAGAAAAGAAATAAGATCGCACAGTGCGAAAATCGCAGCGAAGAGACCAGTCTGCTTCGCACCGAACACGAGCTGGCTGATCACGTTGATTGTTTTTGAGGACTTGTTGCAAGACCGCGCGTTGAGCGTCACAAGAGTAGCTGTGGAATAAACAATGTTAGAAGCGCAAGCGCACAACAGTAAAAGGCGCCTAAGTAGACGGACCTGTCACAATAACATCTACAATGACTTGGAGGACAAGCCACGGTATTACCAGGTGCCGAATCTTGATCAGGTCGGGGATGCTATCAGATGGTTATCAGCTGGATATGCAACAGATAGAAATGAGGATCAAACCATACTAGCTGATCATCCACGCTTTGATACCACATGTCACGCCAAAAGCAAAAGAGGCGACGGACAGGGCGATGATGATACCAAACAGCAGGCTATTTCCGCTGAGCCGCCGTATGCTATGGGTCAGGTTGAGTGAGCAACGTGTGTGAGGGAGAGGAAGAATGCTCTCACCGCAAGGCGAGGAAGGTTTGAGTTGTCACGGCGGCGAGTGACACTGCGATAGGCGTGAAAGGAAAGGGCCATGGAGACCCTAAAACCCGTTTAAGCATGAACTACCTATAGCACGGGTAAGCGAGACTCACATAGCAGTGCCTCTGGATTCGTGTAGTTCGTGACACTGATGCGGGGTTCAACAGTGAATACGGAGGGTAGGGATGGAGAAGCATGCAAACGTACACGTAATCCCAGGCCATGTAGATAATACTTTTAACGTAGCGTCAGGGTCTCTGATTGTCGTGCGGGCCATACACCACTCACGAGGCACTATGCACTCCATCGAGAAGAAACAAAAACACAACCATAGCCCTGAAACGATACCTTCAGCATCAGCAAGCATAATGAGAGCACGCGCTGCCGCACTTTATGGGCCATTTGTCGTTGAACTCTTCCGCGAGCTATGAGTGGCGATAGGGAAGAAAAGTTGATATGTACGCACTCGCTCGTTTGTATCGCGCATACTGGTACATGACGAGTCCATACAGGTAGGTGTTGACTGGGGTATCGTAAGCGCATGCTTGTCCAAAGGCAACCAGAACTCACTCACAGAAGATGCCGACGATCAAGACACCTGGCGCGCAGGGGCACACACTATGGCTTCAGCTCACATCCGCCACCAAAACGCACAAAACGCACCGATGGTCTTGTCATACTCACCCATCGCAGCGTGCTTACGAGGGATGGATGATGTTGAGGAGGAAGAAAGAGGAAAGGCGGAGAGAAAGAGGGATCACGCTTTTAATAAACTGTCGTTCAGGGGCGATTTGACTTCTTCGGCTTCGCGTGGGTCATCTGTCCCCTTCTGTCAACTCCGCATCAGCTCAATTTGCCTCCGCCTCCCGCCATCATAGCGTCGGGCCCCGTCAAACGTCGGCGTGGCGCAGTCTCAGTCGTCTGATGTTATCTCTCCTCTTTGAGACGATCGCTTCGCTTTGGCAGCTGCAGGTCTCGGGTCATTGACAAGTGTAGGCGGCCAATTGACGCATGATGCAACCCAAATCCAGAAGCTTCTATGACATGTTGCACATGTTTGAAGGCCTGGCTACAAATGCTCCATGATACAGAGCAGACGCAAGGCAATGTTGAGCTCACAATTTACGCCTGAACCAGTAGCACCGCAGAACTCGCTCTAATGTGCTACACGGTCGGAGGTCAATCGCTGCATTGCAATCGCATTTGATGTGGGCTGGCGGCTTGTCATCATGGAGGTACCGTAGTGTGAACTTCTTCGAAACAAATGTCAAGTCGCGAAAGCAAGCGGAAGGCAACACCACTTCCAGCAGACGAGCGCTATGTATCCGTGGGAACAAAGGCACATGTCAAGCGAAATCTTGCCTCTCCTTTGGCCTCTCCTTACAACTGCAAGCCATCGCTTTACCATCGGGGCAGCAAAACAGTCAGGCAGAGAGGAACAGGGGGAGGCCAGCGTACAACATGCCAGGTCATTTAAGCCAAACTGATAAAATGCGACCGAACTGTCTGACAGAATCCAAGAACACAGGAAGACGGGGAAGTCTAGTGCGCACTCCCGCGCGAGGGATGCTGTACTGGTGTCAGGATGGAACTGTCAGGAGCCGAACGGCTCCCCGACACTATTTCCCCCGGAGTGCGCGTTGTTTTCGGGGAATGTGGCGTGGAGAGTTTGGGAACTAGCACAGCGGGTTGGAGAAAGATCCAGAGAGATAGAGGCACGCTTGGAGGTACCAGACATCGAGGAACAATGAATTCGAGTGTCTTAGAAGTAAAACAGTTGGCGGCACTAAGGACTTCGACGTTGAACGGGATGACGTTCAGTACATTTGGATATAGGCGATTACATGGGGAAAAAATGCGTGAGTACAGCGATGAAAGATAAGCGTGAATGCAGTACGAGTACAACAGAGCATCAGGTGTTCCATAGCAGATCCAGAGCCCAAGAACAGAACAGAACAGAGATAACATAAATAACACGACACAAGAAAGCACACATACCAGGAAGAAAAAGAAAAGAAAGATGAGAAAGAAAACACAGCAAAGGTCTTCTTCCCCAATGACGCCCCAGACGCATCGTTGCAGTCGAGCGCCAAGTCCACAAGATCAAAAACCCACACTCTACACAATCAAGGCACATACGTCGCCAACAGCACATTCACCACCAGCCTCCCCAGCTCTCCCGACGCCCCCGACACGAACGGCACACGCAGCTTCGTAATAGGCCCAGGCGCCCAATCAGACGCAATAGTGATCTCCGCATCGTCGAGCGGAACCGCGCCGCTCGCCATCATACGCCGCTTCAGCTCCGCCCTGCTCTCCCTCTCCCTCTCGCGGTCCGATCTGCTCTCCCGGAACCCATCGCGGTGATCGCGGAACCCGCCGTCCCGCGACGAGTCCGTCGGCGAGCCGAACGCGAGCCCGTCCTGAAAGTCCTCCGCGAGCGACGAGACGTCGCTGTGCGGGCTGAACGGGTGGCGGATCGCGCGCAGCGGCGACGCGACGGGCGTGGGCAGCGCGGGCACGGGGAACGACGGCGGCGTCGTGCCGGTGCGCGGGACGGAGGACGGGAGCTGACTGGTGGGATCGCTGCCGTCGTGCGCCTCGGTATCGACGGCGCGGTCGATCGGCCAGATGAAGTCGCCTGCGGCCCAGTGCAGCTCGGGCGCGAGCTTGTAGATCTTGAGCGCGTGGTAGAGGATCGAGTCGCTGCCTTTGAGCTGTACCACCCGACGCATCCAGTCAATATATCATGCAAGAGAAACAAGAGGGGGGAAAGCACGCACCTGCGGCACGAGCGTCTCCGCCAGCGCATCCTCCGGGTTCGCCACATACTCCTGCGTCAAATGGAAAGCAATCTTCCTCCCCCTCGAAAGGTTCAGCACCTGGCTCAAACAATCCAAGAACCGATCGCTCGGCCCGATGAGCGGCTCGACGCCCGGACCCGCACCAAACGAGCGCGCATGAATACCGTACGTGATGCACATCCTGCACCCGCTGTTCACGCGCTCGACCTCGTACGAGCACTCGGCGAGGAACGCGGTCCACTCGATGATATCCGGGTCCCTGCTATCGTCCTCATCGTCCTCGCCAGGCTCGCTGCGCCCGCCGAAGCGCTCCTCGTTGCTGTCTGCCGCGTCGCGTACGACCAGGGCTCCTCCGGTGAACCTGATGGGCAGAGTGACGACGACGGTCGCGATCCGCCCGTCGCTGTGCCCCAAGATACCTGCGGCGCTTTGTGGACCGATGTCGCCTCCGGCAACTGTAACCTCTAGGCGGTCACGCACGGCGATGAGGTGCGTACCAGGCGGCATCAGGGGGAAGAGGGTGTTGCGGAGGGCATCGGTGATCGGGTGGTTCGCGATCTCGACGGTGGCCGTAAGAGGGAGCTGGGAGGGGTAATAGAACGAGTCAACAGCATCGGGGATGGGCGTGCTCTGGCACGCAGAGATGAGGACGTCTAGAGCGGGTGGTGTGTCGTAGTCGACGTCGACAGGAAAGTCGAGCGAGTGGGTTATCCCGCTCTATACGGCGTACAATGTGAGCCTCGGAAGGTGTATATGGAGGAAAGGGAGAGTGCTTACCTTGGATCGGAAGAAGAGCACCAATGTGGTTGGATCGAGCGGGATCTGGCCAGAGACGGTGAACGGTCTCGCCTTGACGGCAATGAGCTTGGACACGGCGGTCCTCAGCGCGGTCTCCCCTCCATGATCGGACTGCATCCTGCGCGCACTCGGCCTCTTATGTGCACCTGCGTGTGGAATCCCGGAGCGCTTGGGGTGACGCCTCGATGTCTTGGGATGATCGAGCTGGGCGTCACAGAGGCTCGTGGGGATGTGATAGTCACCGTATGCGTCTACCGCGGCAGCAGCAACGGCGACAGCAGCAGCTGAAGAGCCTGAGCTGGAGGATGAGCTGTAGCTGGAGGCGGATGTGTGACTGTGGTGGCTGCGATGGCTGTGGAAGGTGGTCGTCGACGTTGAGATGCGGACCCCTGACCCTAGCTGGCCGTAGCCCAGGGCAGCTGCAGCTTTGGGATCAGATAACCGCCGGCCACTGCCTCCCCCTGAAGGAAAAACGGGACTGTGGCCTGCACCTCCAAAGGAAACGGGTATGGGTTGCATGTATCTCGCTTGTGCCAGTCGAGATCGGCTCGAACGTCGTCGTCGAGTCGGAGAAGCAGGTCGAGGAGAAGGACGACGAAGCAGCGAGGACGGTGGAGCAGCTCAAGACTAATTGACCACGCCCAAGGTTCATTATAATGAAGTGACCTCGCCAGACCACGCATATGCCTCGTGTCGCCTGAGAATTTGAAGGTGCGCAATGTCGAGCTGCATCAACCACGCGTGTAAGAAATGTCCATCGATCGGGCCACCCACTGCGTCCCGATGATCATTCTGCTCAACTCGTTGTGGGAACTCTCGCCCAGTCACTTAATCCTGTGCCGTGAACTGCCCGAGGGCGGACATAAAGGAGAAGAACTCGCCTTTCTAATCGCTACTTTTTGGCCGCCGCTGTCTAGACTGCAACATTGAGTTCGGGGTACGAGCGCACTTGCTCAAAACGTTTCACCACAGTAAGATGAGATTAAGTCATATGCGTCTAAAGATTGTAATACAGCGTATAAAACGGTAGATTGGTATCGTAATCAACATCCACCAGTCCTAGCACTAGCTGATGCGCAGTAGAATGCCCTGAAGGACCACAAATGAAAACACCTGGTATCTCCCCAAATAGACGATCTGCATTGCGTAGGGACAACAAGAAACCGCAGAATTAGATCAATATGGTAGTAACATCGACGACGAAAACGGTGTCCAGTGGCAGATGGACCTCAGGACGTGTAGCTCATTGCCTCACGATCGTCGGCCCACAGTCTGGCGTACTCGAGGCACAGCCTATACACGTAAACTGCGGCGTAAAGATCAGCAGGATGTCTCTAACAAGGGAAGGGGAAAAGATCGGGGTGGTAAATATGAAACCAAAAGACAGAAGGGCAAAGGCAGACAAGAAAAGGTAGATAACAGAAGGAGGAAGTAGCTCACCCTCCATGTCATCGATCCTCCCCAGCGTCTTCTTCCACTGCTTCCCGCCCCTTGCTATACGCTTCAACTGCGCATCCGTCTCCGTCTTGCGCGCATCGAGCGTCTCCAACTGTGTCTGGTTCGCGGCCTGGAGCGTCGCGGGAGTCGGCCCAGAGAAGTACGTGTAGATGTTATACAGCTCCGCATACGACGACGAGACGGGGACGTAGTGTACCCTATGTGCGAAACGAAACACGGATCAATATCGACTGTCTTTTGTCCCCACATACGAAAACAGAGCGAGGAACCGATAAAGGAAAGGAAAACGCACCAAGGCTGAATCCAATCCGAGAAATACTCCTTATACACCGTGCTCTTCAGCACCGCACTGTCGCTTGCCAAAAAGCTCATAAACCGCCCGCTGTAGCTCTGCCCGTCCACGTCGATCAGGTACTTGTACGACCAGTGCTTCCCGAGCGGCACAGCGTCCGCGAACCGGTGCGCCTCCTTGAGTGCCTTCTCGCCGCCGGGGTACCCCGCGCCCGTCGCAGACGTGAACGCGACGTCCATGATGTCCTTGTTCACCTCCGCGCGCGGGAGCGTCGTCGCGGCGTACACCGACGGCTCGGAGGCATCCGGGTGCAGGATCGTGAGGTTCTTCAGCGGGTCGTCGCCAGACATGCGGACGAGACTACCAAGGGCTGTCAGTTTGCGAACAGAGGATGGGAAGAAGTAAAAACACACCGATGTCTTTGGTAATAAGGTGAAAACCCGCCAGGCGTGCTCCCTCCACCGGTCGTCGCACCCCTCCAGAATATGACCTCCTCCTTGTCCTCCCATGGCACTTCCATCGGATCGATCTCGCCCTCCTTGATATGCTTCTCATCGAACGCGTACGTATATCTCGAACTCCCGCCCAGATAATAATGACTCGGAATCCTGATATCCGCGAACCCCCTCGCCTTCGCAGGCGAAAAGATAGGGTACAGAACGGGGAACGTGCGCCAGTCGGAGAAAAAGTGGCCCTGCGAATAGTGCTCGTGCGGCTGATCGCAAAAGTCGACGTCGTTGATGCCCGACACGACGAACGCGGCCTCAGCGCCTCCTTCAGCCTGTGCGGCAGCGCTGGTGGCAGAGCCCGAGGAAATGAGCGGTCTGCGTGCGTCTGCGGACGGGTTGCGGTATGCGCTCAGGAGGCGACGGGCCTGTGAGTCGGGCGCGCAGGTGCGCCGGTACGAGTCCCAGACGTTGCCACCGCCCGCCCAGTCCGCGGGGAAGTCCTTACCGAGGACGGCTTCGATACCAGCTGCGAAGTGGAGAATTAGTTTTTACGCTGAAAGTATAGAGAAGATGGAGCTGTACCAGCAGTATCAAACGAGGTCATGTTCGGGTACGCCTTGTGCTCCCAGGGAACGAGGATACGTCCTTCGGCTTTTGCGTTAATGGGGAAGTCCATGTCCGGAAGCTGGCCATCGCACGTCCATAAGCTTCGTGGGCACACAAAGGCAGTAGAGACATACCGAGTCGACGAACTCAGCGATAAGCCGCGCGAAGCCACGAGCACGAGACCCTCCCTCCGAGTCCTGGAAACGCGAGGGGACCTTGATAATCTCCGACTCGCCGTTTTTTATGCGGACAAGGTCGATCGAGGGCAGCTCGCCAGCCTACGCGAGTCCAGGACAAAAATAATCGCAAAGTCGTGAAAAACCGGGAGTAGCACCGAAACGAGGCAGAACATAGTAGTCAGTATTACAGAAAAAACAATCGAAAAGAAAAGACACCCGCACCTGCAACGCCCTCCTCCGCAGCTCAACACCACTAATATTCCAAAACGGCGCCAAATCCTCCACCAGCCCGTCAAACTCGTCCACCATCTTAAACTCCCGCTCGGCCGCGAACGCCCACCAGGTATCGAACCCCCGCGGCGGGTCGCGCCCGTACCGGCGCCGGTACTCCGCCGCCGCCTGCGCGAGCGTCTTGCTCTGCCGCTCGAGCTTCGCGCCGAACGCGGCCTCTGCGTCCGCGATGAGGTGCGGGATCGGGTGGTCGTGCACGCGCCCGTCGGCGTCGAGCGCGGCGGCGGCTGTGTTCTTGGTGGTGGAGAGGAAGGAGGGGATCCATGAGGAGGAGGATGAAGAGGCAGAGTCGGCGAGGGAGATGGCGTGGTCTTGGTGGCCCGCAAAGAGGCCTGCTTGCATGAAGAAGATGAAAGCGCAGGCGGCTGCGACGTAGCCGACGCGTTTGCGGGTGACCAGAGGGGCGCCCTCCCTGTTTTCAAAGGACATGGCGGCTACAGTGTCGTGTAAAATCTAGTCAAGGAGCGAAGGGGAACGTGTAGGGGGATTAGTAGGGATGGGAGAGGACGATAAGGAGAGGAGACGCCAAGGTGCATGCTGGCAACAATTTGTTCGGCCAATAGACTCCGACAACGCCTATCACCCTCAAACCCACCAACATGGATAGAAAACTATTGCACAAACGCTACTTATGACATTGTATGTACGTACATAAACTACAAACGGTACATAGCATAAACCAACAAAAAAGAACATAATCTACCATAACCCCAACATAAACCGTCTAGCCCGCCATCACCGCAAGTCCACAATCTCCAGTGGCATGTCCTTCATCTGCACATGTCCCTTGTCCGCGTCCTGCCATAATACACCACAGAAGAACAACAACCATAAATACAAAAGCTTCGTCAGAGCCTCCCTACCTAGCCCAAAGCTAGTGCGACGACTCACCGTGTAGATGGGGACATCCGCGTGCGGGTGGAACGCCTCTTTGGCATGGCAGTCCAGGATCGTATGCAAGCCAGGCGGGTCCGTCAACCGGAAGATACCAAAGCTGCCATACGTCCATCCATCAATATTCACGAACTCAAGGAGCGAAAACGACGAGGGAGAGAAAAGGTAAGGCAAAGGACGCACTTAGGCGTAGACTTGGGCGCGCACACGACCGCGAATGACTCGGGAAACATGCGCTGGAAGCCAGAGTGCGTGTGCAGGTCGACCGAGGACATGAAGCACGACTGCGACGGGTGGGTATGTATCTGTTTTTCGTACACGCATCAGTATTTCACCTCTGACAGTACTCTAGAGATTCCGTTGATCCCAGACGCACCCATCCAAGCGTAATCAACGACCGCTCCTCCGTAAACTGCATCACCAGCTCCTCCTCGTCCATCGTGCACGTGTCGCTCGTCGAATGCTGCCTCGGAATCAACAGCACTGTCACCTCGTACCGATCTCGCTTCCTCCGACCTGACCCTCCTCCCCCGCCCTCGTCCGCATCTGCAGCGCGGTCCTTGCCGAGCAACAAGCCACACGTCTCGCGATTCTGCGACGTGTTGAGCTTCGCGATTGACAGGAACCGCGGGAGGCATTCCTTGGGAAGAAGAACGGTCTTGAGGTCGCTCGACGACGACTGCACGGGAGACGTTGGTGAAGGCGTCGAAGCCAGGTGGTTCGTCCCGCCGGAGCGCGTTATGCGCAGCGAGTCCTCCGATGGCGTGCGGAAGTGCCCCGGTGGGGGTACCGGCGTGCGACTACGCGCACCAGGACCGCCGGGGGACGGCGTAGGACCAGAAGGGCCTGGGGGTGCAGGAAGCGGGTATCGCGGGCGCGATGTGGACGAGGACCACGATCCATATTGTCCTCCTTGCCCATGCGACGAAGACGGTTGTGGCGGGAGCACGCTAGACGGATAGAGGTGCTGGCTCTGGTGGTGGCCGTGGCCTCCGCTGCCATGAGCACGTGCTTGAGCGTCGGGATGTTCAGGGATGAAAAGGAGGGACGAGGAGCTGGGCGCGGCGTGCGTCCCAGAGCTGGGGTTGAACATGGACTGCAGGGAGGGGACGTACCCCTGTGTTAGCTGGTGCTGCGACATAAGCTGCGGGTAGCGGATCGAGCCGTCGGGCGGGGCGGGGGAGGTGGTGGTTACGGGCGGTGGATAGTTACTGTATGAGTTGTTAGAAGTTGCCTTTGTGCGGTGTACAAGGGGTAACAGAGCGTACCTGCGGTGAGCGTTGAGCATCGTGTTGGATAATCCGCTATTTCTGAACAATGCACTGAGTAACTGAGAGGCTTGAACAAGTCGTAGCAGGCTTACCTCTCCAGCGGCAAAAAGCTCGACGGATCTATCTGGCGACCCGTTTCCGCCGCAGGCAATCTTCGAACGTGTGCACCCTCCATCGCGCTCGACGGCATCGACGGGTACGCGACACCCGCAGGCATTGATGCCGATACGTATGGTGGCTGCACAGGCGCAGATGACGCGCCGCCATATCTTAGCGAGCGAGCCACATTCTCCGCCTCCTCCTGCCTGCGCAATATCCCCTCACGCTCTCGCCTCCTCCACTCGTCCTCTCCATGCGGCGTTCTCGGTCCGTGATGGTCCTCAGGCGGCGCAGGCGTGCGATATCGTACGGGTTCCTGCTGCGCCGGCGAGGGCGTCGCGCCTACGCCCGCGCCCGCAGCGCGTCTCGCCGCGCTGATCGCGTCGTTCCGTTTCCTATCGGCCGAACCGTACCCTGCCCCTGCCCCTGACGCGTTCCCACTCCCACCTGCACTCCCACCACCCCCGCTGGGTCCACCGAGATCCATCCTCCCAAAGTGCTCGTTCATCGTCGCCTCGATCGAGCCTGACCGCATGCGCCCCCGCCGTTCTGGATCACGATCACGGCGCACCGCCTCCTGCGCGAGCCAGCCCGAGTTGTCCTCGTGATGCTGATTATAGTGATGCCAGTCGTTCCGCGCTGGTCTCGACACCAGTGCCGGGGACGGTGACGCGTCGAGGGCGTGGTCGTGCGATGACGATTCATGGTCGCGGCTGACCTGCCGCGAGGGCGGCCGGAGCGCGGGCGGCTGCGGCTGCGACGCGGGAGGAGCATCGACGAGATCGGGATGCTGCGCTGCCCAGAGCTCGTACCGGTCCACGAGGTTGCGTTTGAGATGGCCCAGGGATTCGAGAATGGCTTGGCCGTTCTGTCGAGATCGGGAATGCGAATGTCAGCATAGTGCTGAGCAAAGTAGCGAGAGTGGTTTCAAGAAGACAGACGAAAAGATCGGCCGTTCTCGGGAGAGGACACAGAGATGAAACATAGGGCATTCGTTACAGAAGAAGCATGAAACACAGAAATCGAAGGCTCAGAACGAACGTACTCACCAGCCCCAAATTATGCCTCTGATTACCGTTCAGCAGAGTGTAATACTCCTTGTGCGTGGGCAGCTTCTCGAGGATAATCGTCGCCGCACGCGCATATTGCATGAACGCAGTCTCGACGTCCCCTGCCTCTGCATACTGCTGGGCGGACTTGCGGAACGAATCGGCGGTCTTGAGCCATTGCTTGAGGCCGCGTGATGGATCCCACAAGTTGACGAGCGCTCTGTCTGCGAGCTCTGCGATCGTTGCGGGTCGCCTCACTGTGGATGACGACGGGGTGGACATGGTGGTGGTGGTTGAAGACGAAGAGAAAGGGGGAGGTGGCCGTCGTTGGACTTGGTGGACTGCGCCAGGAAGGCTTCGCTTACCTTTTATGGCTTTGTCACTGCCTTGGCCACCACTACGGTTCTCTCCTCTTCCCTCCATCTCTCCTCCTTGTCTCAACCAGCCTGCTCTTGTCTTTTTCTCTTCATATGCCCATGCGAGATGACGCTGCAGTGACTATCGATGCTTAATATCCGAGCTATACTGCAGACGCACAGTGATGGCATCCATCACCGGTGTCAGACTCACGATCTGCACGAGGCAAACCAGCTGAGCCAGAGGAGCGGAGTGCGCTTAAGACTGGCGTTGCACGGCAGGCATGGTAGATTTATCAAGCCACACACTGCGAGACATTACTCATGACGCAGGAATAGAAGCCTACAAGCGAATGAGCGCTTGTGCATTGACCCATCATGGTGTTAATTCCTGGCTCTATGCACTCCCAGCTTCACCCTTCCATCGTTCATAGTGACGCGTGCTTCACAGGAGTGGTAAGGCTCGATAGCGAATATTGATCGCCTGTGCTCTGTCCGACCTAAGAGTGACTTCATCAGTAGAACCTCGTCGCGCAACTCCGAGGGTGGCTAGTTGCCCGTCGCGAGCGCTCTCCACCTTGAGTACGTTGCCTTGTTGCTCCCGTGCTCATTGTGCCCCTATCTCTGCTATCCCAGACTCTCGTTCTAGAAGAAACGACTGCCCTACTTCCAAAAGGAAGAGATCTGGCGCGCATATATCCGACCGGGGCAGATGCCCTGAGCGCTCTGATCTTCCGTGACCGATAGCACCGGCGCTAATCTGTCCATATGTGCGTGGATTATGATGAGGGTTCGAGGATATATGTCGGGCTTTCACCAAATGCAGAGTAGTGCGTTACGTGTCATCGTTGTCCAGAAAGGTATCGAGCTGTCAGCGCGCCTGCCAGGAGCGGGCGCAAAATGGGATCTCGGGAATTGACATTCGCTGATTGTCCTCATCTTTTCTTCAAGGGACGATGCCGATCGAGGGAGGAGATCTGTTTTCTCGAAGACCGATGTCGCCGTGCATCCCTGTGAGCTTGCTACAAGACTTCAAGGTTCTGAATTATATTTCGTATCAGACCCGTTACCACACATGCTCGCTGGCATCTTATCCTCTCTATACTTCTAGACCACAGAGATGCTAACGCTTCCGAAGGTTAAAGAACCAGGTGCCCCGAAGCCCGCCGCAATCGCGCTTCTCGTGAGGATACTGACGACCCAGCCCACTCACTATCCCCTTGCGTGAGGTTCCACATATGCCCGTGCTCTCTCCGCGTCTGACAGGTTAATTCACAATCTTTGTTTCGCTACCCCGCTCAATTACACCATCAGTCAAGCTCTCGACTTTCAACATTTGGGGCATTTAGCAAGCAGTAAGTCTGTCAACGGAGACTACCCCAGTCACGTCACTAACCGCAAGAATTGCTTCCGCACTGCTTACACCTTAACTTTCAGCACCGAACTGTACGTCGCCAACCCCGCATCGAAATACCAGCACTGAAAGCAATTGGTCGTTTCGTGGTTTCTAGTATGTCACAGGATTAAACCACGTGTTACGGAGGCATCTCGAGGTTGACGTCGTCTGCGCAGCCGACGTCCTGCGACAGTAGCCGGGGTGTATTCAAGTTCTCTGACAGATGCAAACCCACGCGACACTGTCAATGTCAGAATCCACACACCCCTGACCAGCATCTTAAAAGCGCCTGATGGAGCCCTCGGCGTGCTTAGCTCCTCCCCACGTCTTCGGTTTTCACCCTCGCTAGTCTCGAGTCGCGATGGGCGAGTACGACACGACGATAGGTGCAATCATCAGCCACATGCAGTATCGCTTTGTTTTCTGACCGGTTATTTCCTAGGCGTCCTGCTCATCGGGATCTTCTGTGGGTTCCGGCTCACGATCTAGTTTACGCATGAGCGCTGATATTACCCCAGTGTTACGATTGGTTTACTTTCTACTTCGTATTCGTATGAACATCTACTAGTATCAGCAACTGGACACTACTAGTAGATTCTATTTCATTCTATCTGTTTCTTTGTAACATCTTTGACTCCTTATGAGTCATAACGGCTTGATTACGAACCATGAGTCCTTACGACTCATATTCTCGGTAGCAACTCATTCTCGGACCCTTGACTGTATTAGTACTATTAATGCGAGTCCTCTTGATTCGCTCTTCACGTCTCATGAGTCAATGTGACTCATTCGACCTTCTTAGTAAGCAACTAGTAGAATAGGTATATAAACCCTCATGTACGAGGCCTAAGACCTCAGACTAGTTCTACCTCTATTACTACGTACATCTCGAACTCGCTCTAAGATCATAGTCAAGGACTATCGATAACCGACATCACGAAAGATAAGATAACAAGACCTAAGAGATTAGATCTCTTTGAACCATACGCACCAGGCGTATACGAACAT